ACTGCAAGGGGGGGGAGGGGGGAGGGGGGGTGTTAATCTACCTGGGCAAAATAGCTCCTCTCCCCATCCTCGCTCTCTCTCTCTCTCTCTCTCTCAGCTTGGCTGGCTGCACAGCAATAGAAAGAAAAAGCAAATATGTGGAGACGTGATTTCCAAGAGAGAGAGAGAGAGAGAGAGAGAGAGAGAGAGAGAGAGAGGGAGGGAGAGAGAGAGAGGGAGGGAGAGAGAGAGAGGGAGAGACAGAGAGACAGAGAGACGGTATACGACCCTGCAGCCGTCTGTAGGACGCGTCTCCAGATCGTAACTCCGTATATTATATACCAGAAGCTCGTCCTTTCCATCGAGAGGGCGGTTGATGGATGAGCGCGTAATGTGTAGTATAAAGGTCTCCATTATCCCTCCGTATTTTCAAATCCTCCAGCCAGGAGAGGTTCCAACTCGTGCCACCCCTGTCATGGGCAGAGGGGAGGGGCGAGGATTGATTTTCCTCTTCAAATCTTCCCTACCGTAGTACCAAGGGTAAGAGAGATGAGATGGAGAGCATGGGTCCCCGGGAGCCGCTCCCAAGGGATGCCTATCCGCAATACTAGCGGGTGGTCATTCTGCATTCCTGGCTGCCGACATGAGGTTCGTCAACTTGTCACGGCTGTATTGGTGATTACTGCGGTGTGTAGAGAGAGGTGTTCTTATTATCGTGATACGTGATATTACACGTCTCCGTACAAGGTGGTCCCTCTGATGCTGGTGGTGCTGGTGATACTGTCATGATTATTGCTCTCTGTATCGATACCATCATGTACCTGCCACGCAATAAGAATGAGAAGATGGCTTTGCCGGGGTTCCTCGATCGACGAGGTCGGTCGCAGCGTCTAAAACTGATTTGCATTGCATGGCTTCTGTGGCCAAGGCCGAAGCTGCACGGGGCCGCGTAGACGGGACAGGTATCGAATGCTCCGGTCGGATTGTGGATTGTACGGTATGATTTCTGATCTTGATTGCGACAGGCAGCAGTACTCTATTCCGGTAACGTGCAGGCTGGCAGCGCAGATTTACACGATACGCATTGTAATGTATAGAGAGCGGCTTTTCTTGTGTACACATGTACGTCACATGCATATACATATCTCGTTATGGAGGGATACGAGCAGGCTGAGGAGGAGGATGATGCACGCAAAAACACCGTGATCAGAATTCTCTCAGAGTAGTAATCAAGCCGGCACCGGTCGCCCTCTGCGTTCGTCTCGTCCCCCTCCGAGCTGGGACAGCGGCCGGTTCCCCGACATGGGCAACAATAGAAGCTGGTGCCCGAGCCACAGGAACATGGAGGTACTCGATGTCCTCGTACCTCGTCCTATGATGTGGAGATGCACCGTATCCCTGTACACCCTCACCACCTGCCTGACGGGGTGATTGGATCGTCGCCTGCGGACGGTACAGGTAGCGCGTGCTGGTGGAGAAAACAGAGCAGGGATCAGGGGTCCGTGAAGCTAGAAGCTACCAGATGGAGAGAGAGAGGGAGAGAGAGAGAGAGAGAGGGTGTGTGTACCAAGGATGGTCTGGTGGTCTCTTTCTCTTTCTCTCACTCTCTC